AATATAGTTTACATCAAAATCAAAATCATCGATAAAATATCCTTGAAAATAAGTATAATTATCTAATAATTGTTAATAGAACGATTGTGACGATTTTATTAAATTATCTATTAAACAAATCTAAATAATATGAGCAAACTACGAAGCAGTGAAAAATCGTTCCGGTTTGAAGAGAAGCGCAAAAAATGCTCGGGAAGTGATACAATCAATAGTACATGACTTCGTTGATATGTCTACTTAATCTCAATCTTATTATTGTACGTCCACCCTATACAACATTCAACAATCTCGATGGGAGACACTCGTATTTATACAGAAAAAGAAAATCACAGGCTTTTATAACACACGCCAGACATAATAATAGAATTTATAATAGAATTTATAATACAAAAATCTATTAGTAGTTAAAATATTATTATTATCATCATCATTATTGTTTGAAAGTATGTCTTGTAGCTTCTGAAACTACAAGGCAAGGACCGCCTCGCGATGGTTACCTGTTTCAGGTCGCTTTCTCATTATTATTATCATTATTATCATTATTATTAGTATTATTATTATTATCATCATTATTATTATAAATAGAATATAATTGTGTTAAGAATAAAAATGTATAAAAAATATTGAGAAGAAATTCAAAAATTTGGTAAAATACTCCACGATATTAAACCACTGCAAGTCTATGCATACAAAAAATATATCGTTTAGCGATATAAATAATTCATTTAAATAAATAAATAATAATAAGAGCAATAGCCAGTAGTTACTTATGGTGATGTCTAGTCTGGTAAAGTATAAAATACCGACATACTTACGGTATGCTATAAAAGTCTGTGAAGAAACCTTCATTCTTACATTCTTTCATAACCTTGTATCAAGGATAACTTTTTAAATGCCTGATTTCCTCGTTTCAATTTAATAATTCTATGACAAATTATTATTGATTATCGATAAATTTTCGATTGACTAAACATATTAAAAATTGTAATAGTTTTTTAAGTTTTCGAAACCATCAAAGTCATTAAAATAAAAAAAAATTTTTTTAAAAAATACCACACAGATACTAAAACCAGATAATCTAAATTTAAAAAATTAAGAGTACATATGTATTTAGATCTATTTTTAGATTCGATTCTTAGAGATTTGGATCTTTGAGAACTTTAATCCTCGAGAGATAAAATTAATAAATTGATGTGTCCTTAATGTATGTTCCGGAATTCATATTTCGTTTAAAAAGCATATTATAAATCGGTAGCTCCTTAGATTTCTAAATTTTATACTGTTTAATATGCAAATCCCCACAAATTACTTTAAATTTTATTTAAAGAGTTAAAAATATATTTATTTAAACAGATTGTGTGTGAAATTTACAAATGGATTTCTAGATTCTAGAAAATTACAATTCTAGATCCTTTGATAAATTATTAGAGCTTTCAATAATTTTTATACTAATTTCATCCTTTAAATAAAAGTCCTGGATCGTTGAAAATTCGCAACATTTTTATATTTTCTTCCTTTCATATTATATAGATTTTTTAACATTTATACTCTGAGCAATGATATGAATAATTATTTAGATATGCTATTGCTTTTGAGAAACAAAAAAATCAGGCTGTACACATCGATGTTTTTTGCTACCTTAAATTTACTTGCATTAAAGAATACGAATCGTACAAAACAGCTAGAGTAGCCGCCCATTGAATTATCAAGGGACCTTCTATTTCACGCGTTTTCCTTTTAAGATTTTACTTAAATTATAAACAATGCCATAATAGTTCAGAACGCGATAATTTTGGCGATTCATATTCTATTTTTGTTCAACACCTGTTCTTAGATAAATATATTTAAAAATATATGAATTGCACTTAAAATATTTAGTGTGTCAGATCATAAAATTATATACTATAAAATCAAAATATTTTAAAAAACTTGGTGAAATATTTTTTGAAACGTGCAATAAATCGTCTTTCTATCATAGTTTAACATAAACACACTCGATTCCCTCGATTTTGAACAATGTATATTATTTTTCTTGTTCTTATAAAAAGCAATCATCTATTTTCAGCAGATTACATATTTGAAATATTATACTTTTGTGTTTTTTGCTCTACTGTAAAACCATACAAAAATGCAATATGATTTAAATTTCGCTAATCTTGATACTACCAAATTCTTAAAAATTTAAAAATGTCGGAATCTTTTTTAACATCGTTCACTGATGCGAAGATGGAGGATCCTAAATATAAGTCAACCTCGAGTCTTGCCTCGCCACGGAACCGCCGCGCTGCCAAGAGGATATTTCCATTTTGTCTGGCTGAGATCGATGGCGATCGCCTCACCATTCTCGAGTACAATTCCGAGAAAGTATTTTGGCCGAGAAACGCGCAGGATATTCCAACTTCCGTGAACTCACTCGAGGCGCTTTGACTGTGAGCAGGAGGGGGAGTGACATAAATATCGTCTTACCGAAACGAAACACGTTATCTCGAGGAAAGTTCTCGCCGGAAGATCAAGGGAGTAAACTCTTTAAGTCCTTTCCAGGTGTTCCAAACTCCGTGGACTTTAGTACGATCGTACGATGCACGTGAATTTTTAGGAAAAACGAGAATACAGCTGACGACCATAAGAAATCTCTGCACAAAATTTAAGTATGCAAAATGTAACTTTTTCTTTCGTTATATTGAGAATTTGGCCGATTGAGAAAAGCTCATTTTTACACAAAGCCCAATGACAAACTTTTCAAGTAGAATTTTTATTACAAAGTATAATTGAAATTCGACTAATTAAATGTGTTAATCATAATTGAATGCCAACTTCTGTTTCGTTATTTCCGCTTTGTAATATACACATCTGCATTTTGACAAAACTTGTTCAGAATAATGAACAAATTTATTATCATTATTATTATTATTATTATTATTACTGTTGCCTGCTTTGTTTTACTACTTAAGACTTAAGTGAATTTAAACGAACGTGTATCTTGCAAGCCTTCGAGGGAAGTGGAAGGTCAAACACCAATGAGCGGCTCATTGTTTATTAATAATGACTATGTTTCCACCGTGCGCAGTGCCAAAGTCCCATTTTTGATATTACATTGACAGAAATGTGGCGTTAAATGTCACATGGACACTATTTAATTTTCAATATTACGATATCCTACAATAAATTCTATCATAAATGTGGTGTTCAACATTCTGCCGTAATATAATACCACATAATCTTAAATATAATTATACGATGTGTAAATATCTATGTTTACGTCAAATGTATAGTATCTGAATGAGAATTAGATTTTGGAACTCTCTAGCTAGAGCCATGTATAACACTGAATGTACGGTGAAAACGTAGTCTTCATTATAATTAGCTCCTACATTTGTAACGAGTACGTTACACGCTTCGTCTAAGCGTCTCAATCGTGCATATGATCAGGGTTATCACAAAGTTTAACCGACGAAAAAAGAGAAACTCTAAAATTCTGTGTAAAATGTTTTATTTTGTAAAATGCCTGCGAAATAATGTAGATAAAAATAAGGCGTAATGATAATTAAAATCGATTGAAAATTAATTTAACCAAATAGCAGGCAATTAATGTGAGTATTAACTAAATAGACAATGTCAGTGTATCTAAAGTTTATTATAAAATACCTCGTCAGTATAGCATTCATCGTTTATGAATAATACATTAATAAAAAAATTAATACATATAAGACATAAATTAATATAATTAAAAAATAATATTTGAATCTATCTATTAAAATATCGTAATTTTAACTAAAAGGGGAGTTAATTAACTTAATTAAATTAAAAATATTTACTCAATAATATTAGAGAATTAATCCATACATTATCTCTTGTTACAAATATTTGTTTTCTTAATATTTGTTTTTTAAACGTTATTGAACAAAAAAATATTAATTAAAAGCCTGCATTAAAAAATTAATTTAATAAAATATTTTCTCTCGCACAACGTAGCAGATAGAAATACTTTGCATCAAGATACAATTTCACACCATTATTTCTCAAAACTCAAATTATACAAATTGTATTTAAAAATAGGAATGTATTGTATTAACGAGTCCTAGTCGTTATTTAAACAATTGTGATTATCTGATTTCTATGCTCGTTACAATCATCGCAATGTGACATCCGACACTGGGTTAATGAATATTTATTGATAATCTGTCGAATCAGTTCTTTGCGATTAGTCTTACTTATGGTTAGATAAGTAGTTAATTAAATTAGTTACACTTAGGCGCGTTGATCAGCGGCGTCGGTGTTTTTCTTCACCTTTCCGCTTCTCCGTCCTTGTCACGTATCGTACTTTCTTCGATATATCGTCTGGTGGATGGCTTCGTATCGATTATCGTTGAAAATAAAAAAGAGGAAAAGGACTGTTACCCAGTTTTTAACGACCGTCTCGAGTCGATTTATCGCAATCGAGCTTCTCGATGAAGATCTTTATACGTGGACTGTCTAAATTATAAATATACAGTCTTCTTTTCATCTTGCTTACATCTTTTTCACGAAATACTGGAATCCTTGGACCGAATCCGAGAATTCTACGATGTGTATAATTTGCATGTTTTTTTGCATTTTCATTTAAAAAGCTAGACCGTTGTTTTAATTTTTAAAATCGTACATATTAAATTTTGATTTCAACGACAGAAATATTTAAATCTTTGAGAAGTCATGACATAGTACATATTAAAACAAACAATAAAATTTGGAATTAATTGTAAATAATGAAATTGATTCTTAAGAATCTCCTAAAATTTCCCTGTACTTTTGAAATTTTTAAATTATCTTAAAAATCTTAGCTTTTAAGATTTCAGATTAGGAAATACTTAAATATTTTGAGATTCAAGTATCTAATATTTATATTTTTTATTTTCTCAGATTTTGAAGAATGAAATTACCATTGTATTGAAATTTTGCTGATTTCAATAATTTTCCAGTCGGAGAATCCTCGGATCGTTATCCTGTCCAAATCATTACTCTATTCTCACTCATTCCTAAACTGTTACACTATTACTGTTTCACTTCGAATCTCTTTTTCTTCCACATTTCAAAGCTTCGCAACTAGAATAGGATGCTGCACGCGATGCGAAATCTTTGACAAAGATTATAGTCCTCACATTTCTTATCCATTAGGATGTTTCTGATCAAGTCTCGGTTCTGTTATTTGTTACTTCGAATTCTCGAAGAAAAAAATTAATTTTCTCCATTTCACTGTGATTATTTTCGAGTTCAGTGAAGAAAGACGCTGGTAACAGACCTCGTAGTGTGAGGGGGCAAGTCGGGGGCCTCTGTGAGGGCCCCCTCGTGCCCCTATGCACTCAGACCAAGCCGATGAATCTTCGCCGAAAGGAAGTTGTGCAGGACGAACACGATTGGTTTTGGACAACTTTCCAAATCTAGCTCCTACAATAATAATTAACCGATACTTTTTACTTACTGATGACAGAATAAATAATTAAGTTTCTTACTTGTTTAAGAAAATATCTAATTTTTAATTAATCAATGTTAAGTGTCTATGAATTGAAATGAATAAGGAAACAGTTTTCAGAAACTAAGAACAAGTAGCCATTTTTCATCATTAATAAAAAAAAAACGATGATACACGTAGGAGTCCTAGTCTTAGAGTAACTACATTGAATGATGTAAGTTGAAATGAAGAAATTTACGATTATAGCAAACTTTCTCTCGTTCCATAAACTTGCTCTTAAAAATTTACGACGCTTGAAAATTGCCCGGGATATTAAATTTTCCAGTCTTTTTGATTTTTGAAATCCATGTGTCTATCAAATACTCACAATTTCGCCATCTTCGCCTCCAAAATCGAGCCACAGAAGACGGGCGCCGTCGTCCGCGGACATTTTCAATTTGTCGAAGGATCTTCTCCAGAGTGGCGTGGGTGGTGATCCAGGACTTACGCCGTTCCCGGCAGTACCCCGCGTTCCTGCGGAGTAAAGCGCGAAACCTTCTTCATGGTTGACAACCAACTGACAGGCCTTACCTTGCCATGTGCAACCTATAACATACAAAATATCACAAAATTAAAATACCAGTAGAGAGAAAAATAGAAATCTTTTCACAATCTATTTATATTAATTTTATATATCTTGCTTGTTGCTTCTGTGATGTTTTAGTGTTTTATCAATTGTTCTTATTCTATTTATATAATAAATAACGCAAATTACAAATTTAAATTTACACACATATTCGTATAACATAAGCGAGACAGTTTTTAAAAACAAATTAATCTTTTAATAAATTGATAGTTTCTATTTCTTCTGAATTACAATTTGGTCAGATATAAAACGTAATTATATAAATATGATAATTTTATAAGCACGATTAAATAAAAATCAATAAAGATTTTATTTATTTTTAATAATCATAATCGTAATTGTATAATTAATGTTGAAGAAAATTCCTTGTGACATACTATTTTTTATGAGGCAGCCTGTATATATTTTTCCATTGCGCGTTTCTGCCGCGTCGGAGGGGGGAGGGGGGAATCCACGGTTCTTTATCATCGATGAGTTCGACGCGAGACGTGAACAAAAAGACGCGTATGAAATGGGTGAGGCATTCATCTCGATTTATTATTGCCGTTCGTCGTCGCTGAAAAGAAATTAAAATTCATCGAACCGAACGCGGAAAATGACGAGAGTGTAGATGTCGACTATCATCCGCTGATATATAACTTACATAGAAAGAACTCGGATTCACAATTTTCTCAAATATTTCAAATGCTATACACACTTCTATCTGACCTACATAACTTTTAATATCCATTTATCAATCTTATTTTGTCAATTTTCTAATTTTTCTAAAATAAATTATTAGGCACATTATTTTAAATACCTAAAAATTTTAAATCCAGTTTTTTAAAATTATAGTTAATACGTGAGATTACTCACGAACAGTGTATTCTCGCAAGGAATGAGCAGCCGTGTGACATCCTTGAACAATCGCCCGCGCCCAAGCCGCCAGATCTCTTCGTGTTTCAGCTCGTAAATGATGCGTGACTACCCCGTCCATCGTGCCAACCCGGACCGCGAACGTCGCTCCGTGTTGAGTCGAACCGCTACTGCTACTCGCTGCTTCATTCTGTCGCGTTGGAGAGGAGACCAGTCTGAAATCATTTCATTCGTGAGAGAGTCCCGTTTAAGTTCTCAGATATTCTTATGAAAGTCTTTAACCCGGTTATAATCACCTTAGCGACAAGAAAATGTGAATTGTTCTAAAATGGATATTGTTTTCTTTCTTTTTGGATAACTATGTTTTACGAACCTTTAAATAATGCAATTCCACCGAAAATCCGCAATAAAAAGCGTTATACTAATTAAAATCTTTATTTTTTAAGATTCTTCTAGAAATCCTTAATTTTTTAGATATCATTAATATTTGTTTAATTCCTATTTCTTTTTTCCAGAAAATGTGAATAAATCCATAATGTCAGAGTGTAAAAATAGCTTAGAAAAATTATTCCAGGTGATTGTGTTTACGTAAAAAAAAATGAGATGGCTACCTCCGAATTGAAAACGTATATTTAAAGGTGTCAATCTTTAAAATTGAATACTAATACTATGCCTAAGTTTTCACTCCACGTGTACATTTACGTTAGATGCGGTTCTTACATCAGATCGATATAGCGGACTTCTATAGAATGAAGATTGAAGATTCCGCGGAGGTACGAAAATCACGTGACATCGCTCTTGGGGTGTCGGATAAAAAGCGCCGACCTTTATCGAAACGATCGAAGCGCCTTGTAGCGAGTCATGGTATGGATTCATTCCCGTCGTCCCTTCATCCCTCTCCCAACGGGTAGGTAAATTACCTCGTCATCCGGCTCGCCTCGCTCGTAAAATCGTCGCGGCTTTATTGCATGCGGGACGAAGCTGCAGTGTTCACCTGACACGGGTTCGGCCACGTATGCACCCCTTCCCCAACCCTCCTCGAATCCATTCCCTCCCACCAATCTGCCCGCTGACGAATGGTCCTGACGTTCGCGAGCCCGCGCGCTAGATTTATAGATTTTTCCGAGGGACACTGGCGAGCTCGAAAAAGAAAAAAAAAACAAGCAGTGATAGAAAGAACACCCTACGCAATAGAGAACAGAACGGATGCTAAAAAATAGCACGCACTTGGACTAGAAAAAATGCCCGCCCCCGGCATTATTCAACATGCCTAACGGTCGCTTCGGGCCTTTTTCGCTCCGATGCTAATGGTTGCCTACTGCATGTCGAGATGTAGTTGAATTTCCGTGACAAAGAACATCTAAGTTGCTAAAATTAAACCGCTCAGAACAATAAAAGAGCAGGTGATGTAGAAAAGAGTAAAAGAAATAATAATTTCATTTATCACCATTTATGCAGCAAAATCTTGTTTCTAAGAGCGGGAGCACAGGGTCTTGCGTAACGCAAATAACTCGCATAATACATAAGAAAATGGACCAATCAATTATTTCATTTTTTTTCCTTTTCCATGAAATAAAAGACTGATTGGTTGGTTCTCTTATGCTTGATACATTATACGTTAATATGCTCTGGCTTTAAGATTGAAATAGATATTGGTATATAAGGGAAAGTGGAAGAATTGTGCGAACACATGGATAAACGCTAACACAAAAAATACTATTACAGTATAATATGTATAGATTAGTGATAACTTATCATTTCTCGTATCCAGTAGTAGTTTAATATAGGCTTACTACCATTCTATAACACGTGACAATTGAATGCACACATAATTGTATCCTAAATATCAGACACCTGAATCAAATAATATTTAAGAAAATAATCCTTTAAATATTTATTTAATTATTTTTAGATGTATATCTATATTAAAATCTTCTTTCTCTATATACTGCTTCCTATTTTATCTTTAAATTTCCAATCTATTTTTCAATCTATTGGAAATAATGTATCTCTTCGTAGTATCTGGTCCAAATACGTATGTATACTTTAACGTTGCGAAATCCTTGATTATGGTTGAGGTTTGAATTCATTTGTGTTTTCCCGGAGCAATGGATATTCATTGACCATTATCGCGAGCGCTTTCGGAGGACAGTGAAAAAATAAAACAATAGCAAAAAGCGCGACTGGAGAAAATTCCGATAAGCGGGAGGAAGTTGGAGAGACAGCCGCAAACGGTAAATAAAAGCGTTAAACGAGAATGGATGTTCGTCGGCGGCCGTAATCCGACGAAAAAGCTCGCAGGAAGAAAAGAAAGTTTCCCTCGGGATAGCCGAATCACTTTCGGTTTGTCTCGCAGTAAAACTTCCTTAAGTCGGCCATTTCGTGTTCTCGCGTCGGGCCCGATACAGGCCCCGTCGACCGGAAATAGAACTTTCCGACATGTTCCGCTCCTTTCACGCGTCTTTCAGATTCTCCGTTTCTTTGCCCATCGAATGGAAACTTGAAGAAAACGATGTCTGAATGTTTGGTGACGGAAGAAGAAAATGATTAATAGCGCGACAACATGAAACTCGAGCAAAATTTCTTTTCCGTGCAATCGAATTTTCTGGTTTTTATAAAACCAACTTGATGGTCGTTATTTTGTTAAAAATTTCAATTAATTCCAACACACATTCTATAATAAGACATTAGTACAATAACAAATCAGAAGTCAGAAGCTAGAAATTGATCGATCATAGTCAATTGTTCTTCTTACATTTGGCTGTGATTGGTCAATTTTTAGCTTCCGACTTCTGATTTATTACCAATGGCTTATTGTGGAATAACTTTAAGATCCATAACGTATAACAATTAAAACAATTAAAGAGAGTTTTTAATAAACCTTATGATTAATATTAAATAAAAAATTTTTTTAAATCAGATAATCGAGTATCGAACAAGAAGAAATTTTAATAAACAGTTCAATATTGACGTAATACAATGCTACAGGTAAATCTTTATTGTGATTAATTTAATATTATTTATATTGCTTTATTATTGACCAAACATGTTAAGCAGTTTGGCGACATAAATAGCACTGTCATATTAATCAATTATTTAAGTTATAAATAATTTACAATAACTTATTTCTCTCTGATAATATTAAGTAGAAAATAATATCTAATATTTTTTTAGAATATTATTTTATCTTAGTATAAATGATGCAAATTTCTGCATTCTATTGCCTTAGCAATAGGAAATAAAGTATCCTTATTATATATATTTGTTTGTACAAAATGATACTCAAAATGATCTATACATCCTGTATATAACAGACATACGATAAAAACAGAGGCGCGGGTTCGTAAACTGCCACGAGCGATCGATGCACATTCCCTCTAGTCTTTTTCACTTAAAATTTAAACGAGGCTTAGCTGGATCACCGATCATTCAAACAGCGTGACTGCCTGACACCACATTTAAGCCGCTCGAAAACGCCAGGCTCATCGTTAAAAATGAAGCTGACATTAATTCACAACAACGATGCGCGGGAAAGTTTAACGCGATATAAAATAATGCAACGAGACATTTTCAGCGTTACGCAATACATAACTTTCGCTCCGGGTGCTTTAATTTTCTATGTATTTGAAACCTTTGTACATATTAAACAGTAATAGTTTTTACATATATGTGTATATTATGATAAATTTTACACCATTTTAAATGTACAGTAGAAAATTAGTGTATAGCATTTTGTATATTATTTCAAATGTAGAGATACATTTTCTTTAGAATAATTTTTGATATTTTAACATTTTCAATGTGTTATTTTGATAACTGTATGCATAAAATAAGGGATATATGCATAAAGTAGACTATTTATACAAAATTCATTAAAGAAATTAATTGAATAATATCATACTCTATAATATATTTTGTTTGCAAACTTAATTACGCTCTATATTTCTCAAAATCTAAAAATCAATCCAACTAAATCAATCTAATCAAAATCTAAATATCTCTAGATATCAATCAAAGTCGAACTTCAATAGAATATGTCTCTAAAGTTTAACACGTAACGTGTATAAAAAATATATTAAAAGAGACAAAAAAAAGGACTCTTCCAATTAAAAAATCCGAAAGAGAAAAAAAACATTGAAGAAAGTAAGTTTACACTAAAAAGTAATTTATACTTTAAAAAACGTCTGCTCTTCTCTTATATTTTTCTTAGAGATTAATATACATAAACTTTATTAAATTTATCTATTTAAATTCTAATTTGAAGCTGAATATAAAGATTTAATAAATTAATTGATGATAATAAAAATCCTGTATTGTTCTTTCACAGTTCGTTATATACAGAAATTTTATAACTGTTTATAAACTTTATGATTATTTATAACTATTTCATTGAAATGAGTATGAGTAACTAAAACTGAATAATTATTAACACACAAATTTTTTACAATCAGTATTAACATTGAAATTAACACTTAATAGTAGGAATATTAAAATTTGATATTATGTAAATTAGAAAATTGATTATTTCAGTATTTATCACTTAAATTAAAACCAAACGATTTTTGCAATAATTTTTGCAACGGATATATAAAAATGTCGCTCAATTCAAAAATAACAGTGTTCGTTGACGAGAAATAGCGCGGGATATTATATCGCGGAAAATCTGCGATAAAATCCGATTAAGACGCGAGATCTCGTGACGAGTATCGACTTTCGGCACGATCCTATTAGCTCAGTCGCAGCAACTATATTTGCCGATCACCAACGTCAAAATTCATTGCGAATTATCAATAATTCGATTTGTGTCAGCAGTATCGACGTTTACATAACATCCTTCATATTTACCTCTATTGTGGATTATATACGCAATTTATCCTTGCGTGATAAATCGAGATAAATTGACAAAATATGTAGGTTTCAAAGATATATGATGACAACAATAAAATAATGCCAATTATAAACTATTTAGGATCTTTTCTTGTTATTTTGCTTATATTTTTAGATAGAATAATATTATTTTAGTGTATATATAAAAACTATTAGTGTCAAAAAAACTAATTCTTATAGATATTTTTTGGTGTCATCCATTTGAAACACATACCTATATGCTGATAATATATTTGGAGTTGAAATAGCGATCGATATAAGAAGCCATCTTACATGTCTCGAGTCAGATCGAAGGGTCAATCGAGGAATAAGGACGAAGAGATGAAGAGACGATGGTTGTACGATAGAGAGAGGATGCGCCGCGAGCAAAATCCTGAACTCGTTCCGAATATCGTACCTCGATTGCACGCGCGATCGGAAATTGTCGACGACACCTTCGATAATTAATGTCTACCCCGGAGGATTTAATTGATCCAGTTCACCGTTTCGATTATCGGGACTCCATCTTTCATATTACGTCCTATCCCTTCTTCCCCGCAACCTCCCCTCATGCCCCTTTTTCAGCTGCTCTTATCTGGCCCTTATCCGCCTAGTCGACTCTATCTCTATGACCTTTAATTTACTATGGCAGACAATTATGAATCTTATTAAGCTGACGAGAAAAGCACGATAAAGACATATATTACGTTTAAAAATGTAGACAGTCTAAAGAAATGCAAGATAAAAGGAAACTTGAGATGTAATAATTCACGAAATAATAGTGATATACTCAAAAGTTAATTATACTAATTTTACCAAATTTTGTGTAAGAGCGTGTAAAGATTGTTTCTAGGATCATTTTCGACGCTAAGCCCGAATATGCAGTCAAAATATTTTCATCACGTCCAGTTTTAAAAATATAAGACAAGATATTCTTTTAATATACAGTAAAGTTTTATCGAAATTAGAAAACGAATCAGAACTGTCGAGCGTTTAATTTCTGTCCTTTAAATCGGTTTTTTGAATCGGTTTCATATGTTACGAGTCCACGTATTATATTTCACATATTAGTAGTCGCCTAGCTCTATCTATTCGTTCTAATACTCTTAACAAGGATTGTCAATAAGTCAATTATCATCAGATTCTAATAAAAATGCTTTTGGCTCATCACTTATCGCACTCAAATTATTTGGAAAGAAATGATATATCTTAAAAATAGACGTGCTATTTAGTATTTAACAAATGACATCTTAAAATTGACTATATCTTAAAAATTCGACCTAATGGATTTTTTCTGGCAGCAGATTCATATTCAGCGTCTCAAAATATATTAAGAATAGCCATAGCTCCTTTTCCTGTACTAAAAATTATTCGAAATTTGTAAACTGGTGTCATTATTACGGTGCAAAATTACACGCATCCATATATATGTAATTTAGCATAAAAAAAACTATATAAACTAAATGAATACAATAATTATAATGTAAGGTAGTGGATAGGTATTTCTCTACGCTCCCGGTAGAAGATAAGCCTACTTCAGGGATCTAGCGAGCTCTCGATGTTTCTCACTGCTCACGAAGATATCGTGTCCTAATTCTGAATTTCTACCCACTATTCCTACACTCTTCCTTCTATATTCCGCATCCATCTTCCAGCTTACCTAGCCAACGAGAAAAATTAAGGCAGTCATCCCTCCAAGTAATTATAATGTACAACTACAAAAATCAAACATAATTTAAGAAATAATAATAGCAATAATTTTTATAATTACACAATTTTTATAAATTATTTTTAAAATAGTTTTTTATTTTGTATATAAATTATACTTAAAATTTTACTCAAATGTTTCATTAAAATTATATAATAATAGTAAAATAAATGATATAGAAGTAAATAATAAATGATAAATGCTTAAATAAATTAAAAGTCAATTCGCTGCTAGTAGATTTTCTTTGCAGTGAGAATTTTGTGACGCGGAAGATTCGATGAGTTACGAACGCTAGAAAATATTTCTCCCTGCGGAATGTCCGTCGCTTTTTTTTAACGTTCGTTTTCCCTGCTCTTTGAACCGGCTTTTCTTCCGGCTGCCGTAGAAAGGCAACCGTTTGTCACCGGACATCGCGAAGAGGAGAAACTGAGGGGAATGTTGGGGAAAAAACAGAATTTGTGTGCAGCGAGAGAGAGCGAGAGAGAGAGAGAGAGAGAGAGAGAGAGAGAGAGAGAGAGACAGAGAGAAAAGCAGAAAGATAGAAAATGGACATGAAAAAGTACAGAGAATTAAATTATATTATATATAGTACAAAAAAAAACAAATTTATATTTTGTCTTTTATTAGAAAGGTCTAATATCAATTCAAGAAATACATTACAAACAACAAATATATACATATAAACAAGACTGCAATAACATACACAGTAAAAAAAATATAATAATTAAGATATTAAAGTGATTAATATATATGTACAAATAAAAAATAATAAAATTAAAGAAATTGCATATATAAATATTAAAGGACATATCGTTAGATATAAAAGTCTAAAAGATTCAACAATCCACATAGATCAAGAATTTAAAAGGTTTGAGAATCTAGAAACACAAGAAAAGGATGAAGAAGCAAGTAGGTACAATGTGAATCCGCAAATGGAACAAAGCTCTTTTCGCTTCTACTCTATAGCAAAATTTTTACTTTTATTGAAACAAGAAATATCAAAGTTTCTGCCAACTTCCTATCTTGAACGATGTATACTGTAGTCTCTTGTGCGAATCTCAGTATTCGTCCCTTTCAAAAATCCTATATTTATAAATAATGCAAATTTTGTTCTAAAAGTCACTATTTTTCTAAAAAAATTATTATTTATCATTTATTTTTAATCAATTATAATTTATAAACGCAATGAAATGTACATTTACTTTGTCAGCATTTTAATAATTTTTATCATGACCTGTATTAAATTTATGATATTAAAAACATTATTTTCAATTTTTTGAAAAGATACTTGTATATATATTATATATATATGTATATATATATAACGCATACAAAATTACTGGAAAAATATATATCTGTGATTTAATAAGCAATGCAACATCTCATCTCCAGCCTCGATCAGAAATTTTGTTTACCTGCAATCTCCATAATTATGCTAGACTAGGACGAAAAATACCGCAGAAACGTCCTTCTGTGGCAGTTAATTGAAGAATTAAAAATGAGAATAGCGGGTGTCATTCTTTGTAGTAGCTAATTAGATCTGAATTACTCAGCGATGGGAAAAGGTGGATGAGCAGAAGGAAATTAAAAATTATCTAGGTAGTTTAAGAGTTGAATGCGCAGCACTCTTCTCCTTGCATCCTCAGGTATTCCTTTAGTCGTCGCTCATCAAGCTCGCCGACGGAAAACTTTTAGAGCTAATTGATTTCCCACCGAAGCGCTTGCATGTTGAATCACCTCGCAACAATCGAGCACTTAGCAGCAAATGGTGCCGCCGATCCGCTTCGCTGGTCTTCTTAACTATTCACGAAGAAGGTTAGAATAAGGATATAAGATTCGTAATAAAATTGCTTAGTTTGTAACTATGAAAAATTGACTTGTTTAGGAAACGTTTATTATTAATATATACCTCGCATTGTTTTCAATAAAACTCGATTGATTAATATATTGAAATGAAGAAATAAATAAATGTTTTTTTATGTACATATAATAATACATAATGAAAATCCTATTTTAATATCTGATTTAAATATTTGACTTTGTTATATACTATAATATAATAAAGAACTTACAATTTATTTTCAAAACTTGATGTGAACGCATACACTGTTTTTGCTTAATTTAAAATATAACACGGTGACTGTCTGTACGCAAATAATATTTAGTTTCAATGATACAGCCACATACTGTCTAAGCACCATGGTAGATACCATAAATTTGCAGTGGCACGTAGAAAAAATGATAGTAGTTTGAAAATTCCTGTTGAGCTGTGGACTAATCCGAATTGATGGTCACGCAGCATATCATGCTGATAATAAATAAAACGCATATGCCGTAAAGATAAAAAAACATCTTTCTGTATATATGTATATTTAATCCGCAACAGTAAATGATAAAACGATTAAGTTGTGATGTTCAAATATGCCATAAAACACAACGGGTATAATGATAATATAATATATATGTATTGGATGACAATATTAAGATCTATGACATAAAAATTGAGTCAAAAAGATGAAAAACTCAATTCAAATATAGTAAATTTTATTGTCTTTTGAATTATTAAGCATAAAATTAAAATAACCTAAAATTAATTCTACGATTTAATTCGCTATTAATCCCTAGTTCTTAAAAAATAAGCTGTATCATATCACGGATAGTGAAGATTAGAAAAAATGTTACCAGAAGAAAAAAAGAAAGTTTGCTTCTAGTTAATAAAAAAGTTAAATACACTTATATAAAATATTAAATAAAGAAAAATGAGATAAAACTTCAACCTTTTAGATTCAATATATCGATTACAGGATCACCTCCAACAAAAATTTCAAATCAAATCTTGCCATCCTGTATCGATCGCTCGTGTGTATTACCCTGTAGACATTTATTTCGTGGAGCTTTTCGGATTTGACGGATTAGAGCTGAGCTTCTTCTAGAAGATATTAATGCGCAGGCCGGGGAAAGGAGGAAAGGAAGAAAAAAGTAGCAAGGATGAGACGGAGAGTAGAGAAGAGGGGCTAAGCGTAAAAATTGCAGATAGATAAGGGTGCTAAGGGCGCCATTCGTCTACCTCGCGGCTGACAGGCACGATAAAGTTTCTTTTACACTGAACTAACACTGGCTTAACGCACTTCTTCTAGGACGAGCAGTTCGGGTAAGAATAACGCGAAAAAGCATTCTCAGCAAGTCCTAAACGCGACTTATTTTTCGCCACTTATAACTTATCAATCATATATTGAAGCAAATTAATTAAAAGTCTACAATAAAGAGCAACAGGTCAGAGATATCAAGTAAACAGAATAAGAATTCAAAATTATTCAGTTCATAATAAGTAATGTGACAATTATGTATTAACGTAAATAAACTATACATATATATATATATATATATATATATATATATCAGATTTTTTATAAAAAATTTTTATAAAATTCCATACATAATCATTCATTTGGCAAACTTAGAATATTGTATAGATATATTGTTTTTAATCAAAAAGGTATAACGAAAGAATATCTCTTCATGAGTCTTTATAAATATAAAAATTTACAGCATTTTTGTCACCAATTCTCTCGCTCTTTAACTTATAATCTACTATGTGATAATTACAGGGTTGGCAGACGTTACTTTTCCGTTACTTTGCCGTTACTTTTTATAATAAACAATTTGATAATGACGTTGCAATTTTTAGTGACGGTAACGCTAACTAACTAAATGTTAAGATTGTACTAAGATTGGAAAAGTCACTTTGAAAAGTAATTTGTCACCAATACGTGTTTCCTTACTAAAATAAGTAATAAGAAACGAGTAACGCGCGTAACGCGTTACTAATACGTTACGCGTTACTCGTTTCTTATTACTTATTTTAGTAAGGAAACACGTATTGGTGACAAATTACTTTTCAAAGTGACTTTTCCAATCTTAGTGCAATCTTAACATTTAGTTAGTTATAGCGTTACTGTCACTAAAAATTACAACGTCATTATCAAATTGTTTATTATAAAAAGTAACGGAAAAGTAACGTCTGCCAACCCTGGTGATAAATTACTTTCTATATTAATTTTCTGTGTTATATGTTTAACATCATTTATTGTATTTTATAATCTAAAATATAATCATCTTAATAAGACAAGGTGCTTTAAACTATTAATAGATAAATACATGGTAGCTATAGGAAAGTTAAAAGAGGACAGGATGCAACAGCAACATGGAGTGGACGATTTCTGATTTTCAATTAATTAATAGCAAGTGATTAATCATCAGACAATCTTTGGCAACCCTTGTCAAACAAACCGTCGAACAGAGCACGTATGTGATCTGCAAATACGAGCACGAAGAGAAAAATATACGATACG